TCCTGATAGTTTTCACTATATCTGTAAATTTGATTAAATGGAAACTGATATTTTGATTAAATAATTATTTGTATTGACTAATTGTCACATTTAGATACTAATCTTAATAATTTATAGGTAAACGAAATTTTTTGTTTAGTGGTATTCATATTTCTGTTATATAGGATTATATGATATAACCCTGAAGTTGGTGCATAATATCTGCCAACAACGAGAATTATGTAAATTATGTTGCACAATTGTGTCTCTTTTTGTTTCATGTTAAAACGATCATACGATTCGATGGCACATGTTTAGCCCGTTTTCAAAGTCCAACGGTCGGTAGAAAACAAATACGGTTAATTTGAGAGGGACCGATAAATTTTTAGAAGTCGTGTTATTCATCACTGTCAATTGACACTAAACTCGTTCCGTTAATTTGCTCCTCTTTTAGAATGCTCCTTTTCGTGAAAAAAGAGCCGAAGCATAGTTACAAACACGTGCATGTTAATGACCTCACGCGCATAGGCGTAGAAACGAGGAAATTGGAAATTCTAGAAAAGCCTCAATCAATATGTTAATATATTATTTAATAGAATATTTGATTTGAAATTTAATTCCTTTGAATAATTTACAAAAATTACTAGGTGCGATAAACAAAAGAACTATTTTCAGAGACGCTTTTGTGAAACTATAAGTGGCGTGTAATTATAATTTTTTTTGTAACTTATAAATATTTATTTCGATAATTGTAGTTGTTTAAATGTTCAACAATTTTTGAAACGAAAACGTAATAAAAGTTAAAAAGGATCGAATTTAAGTGATGTGAGAACAACAGTGGTTTATGAAGGGTCACGTGTTTTGAAGGAACAATAGTAAATTACAAAGAATTATCGATAGCAGGGGTTATCAGTGTTCCTTCTGACGTTGTGTTCCCTTGCGTCTTACGTAGGTTTTGATACTCTGAAATGACAATTCACTGAAATATCTTTTATAATTTTGTAAAAGGCGATATATGTTTAACATTTACTATAAATATTGTGTGTTATAGACTTTTTTTATTTTTGTAAACTTATTGAAAAATAAGTGTACAGGTATTTTCAAATATTACGAACAATTTTTATTGAAATTTGTTTTAGGGTTATTTTTTATGGTCACAGTGTTTTTCAAGAAAAATATACA